AATTGATTTTAAGTATTTAAGAGCATGATTCTAAAAAAGGACTCTATAGGTTTCACCTGGCTATCAAAGGAGATCATGATACCAAAAAAAAGTATTGCTTGCATGGTCTTGATCAGATCTGTGTTTTGTAATGTCAATTTGACAGCAGAGTAGAGGATAGATTGGAATGGAGAGAGCCCAGAAGTAGAAAGGCCAATTAGGAGACTATAGAAATAGTCTAAGGGGGGTGGGGTGGTGATAAGAGCCTGAACTATCTTAGGGGCTGTAAGTAGAGGAGATGTTGGCAAGAGAGGGACAACAACAATTACCCCTCTTTTTTTTTTCTTTTTGGTGAGGCAGTCAGGGTTAAGTGACTCGCCCAGGGTCACACAGCTACTGTCAAGTGTCTGAGGTCAGATTTGAACTCAGGTCCTCCTAACTCCAAGGATGGAGCTCTGTTCACTGTGCCATCTAGCTGCCCTGACATTATCCCTCTGTTTGGTGGCTTTTAGGGAAGCTAGGTGGTACAGATTATGGAGCAAAGGGCCTGGAGTCAGGAAGACCTGAGTTCAAATTTGGTCTCAGACACTTCCTAGCTGTGAGTCTGGGCAAGTCACTTAACCTTGTTTGCCTCAGTTTCCTCATCTGTAATGAGCTGGAAAAGGAAATGGCCAATCACTGCAGGATCTTTGCCAAGAAAACCCCAAAAGAAGTATGAAGAGACAGACATGCCTGAAATGATTGAACAACAATGAAAAAGTTTACCTCTCTCTTCCTCACACTTTAGATATTAATTGTATATTAATGCAGTGTCCTTGGCTAAAGCGTAAACCTTGCCTGAACTTTAAAAAAGCATGACTCATATACTCAAACCCTTTTTCCTTTCTTCTTATTTAAAGTCTCATCTGTCTTCCTTTTTAGAAGACAATCAAGTTTTGGGAGACCGTGGGATTCCCTAAAACTAAGATTAAATAGATGGAACCTTATTTTTTAACCAAAGGGTGTGTTCCTTGGTTTTTGTAACACTCTGGACTAGACGCCTGGTTTTTAGGAAGAGATCATCTCCAAGAGTGGCCCTCCCAACAGTAACATTACTATTATTCTGTTGGATAGATTAAAGTCTATAGACTTGCTTAATTTTGACAGAGGGATTTTGTCTTTGTTATGAAAACCTTGCCTGGGGAGGGAGAACTTCAAATAACAGGTCAATTTTACTGTCTGAATCTCCCTCCAAGTAATAATGCTTGTAAACATCAGTACACACTCATATATATATATATATATATATATATATATATATATATACAGGGTATCCCAAAAGTCTTTTGGGACACTGCATGTGTATATGTGTTTATGTGTGTATTTATACATGCTATATAAATATGTGGACACTTGGTATGTGTATATGTATGTCTATATATGCACGTATATGTGTGTGTGTGTAGATATATATATGTATATATATGAAAAAACTTAGTACCCCATATATTTAAGTGGTGCTGTTGTTCAGTCATTTTTCAGTCATGTCCTATTGTTTGTGACCCCATTTGGGGGTTTCTTGGCAGAGATACTGAAGTGGTTTGCCATTTCCTTTTCCAGCTCATTTTATGGACGAGGAAACGGAGGGAAACAGGGTTAAATGACTTACCCAGGGTCGTAGAACTAATGGGCGTCTGAGGTCAGATTTGAACTTAGGAAGATGAGTCTTCCTGACTCCAGGTCTGTAACTGCCTATATATATAGACATGTACATATACACACATACACACATATATAATGTAACATATATTTTATTAATATATTCACATTTTAATTTATTCACACATATATATTTATATATAGTCGCTGAGAGAGTTGAAACCAAAGACATAGAGTACTAAGTTTTCCCCTCCATATTGGTACTATGCCTCTCTCTCCTGTCCATTTCTCTGTTGCCCCCAGCCTCAGATTAGGAGCTAGTTTTGTGTGTGTGTGTGTGGTTTTTTTTTTTTAGGCAATTGGGGTTAAGTGACTTGCCCAGGGTCACACAGCTAGTAAGTGTCAAGTGTTTGGTCTGAGGCTAGATTTGAACTCAGGTCCTCCTGACTTCAGGGCCAGTGCTCCACCCACTGCGCCACCTCGCTGCCCCAGGAACTTCTAATATAACAGGCAATTCAATGAGACTCAGCAAACATGTCTTAGTGGGAGAACGTTCCTTAGTCCCGCAGCCGTGATCAGTGGGAAGGCTGGAGGTGAGCTGGGGAGACTGAGAAGGGTTGGGTGCAGCCTGGGATCAGAGAAGGTGAAGGTGGAAGAAAGGGAAGGACTAAAAGTAAGTATGTATGTATATCCTTGGCTAGAGAGCTGCAGTTTGTTACTGAACCCAAACCTCTCAATGTTGAAAGCGGGCGTCGCGCATTAGCCTAAACCCACAGCTTCCTGACCAACGCCACACACGTGCATTCAGAAAAGGCTCTTCAAGATGATAAATTCTCTGCAGCCCCTCAGCTTGTTCTTCCTCCTTCCTCACCACCCTCCCCTCCCCCCTCCTTTTCCCTTTCACTCCCCCACCCCCCCAACCAGCTGAAGGTTCCTGGCTCCAGGCACTGATGTCCTAGATGTCATGGCGGCTTTCTCTGAGCCTTCTGGAAGTATGGTGGGTTTAAGCATTAGTGCTTGGGGCCACATTTTAAATTTGTATTGAAGTTGAACCTTCTGATTTCAATTTAATTCAGCATTTATTAAGGACCTGCTATGTTCCAGGCACTGTGCTTAGCACTGTGGATTCAAAGACTGGGGGAAAAAAATGGTACTGGAGTAGTGTGCCATTTTACAGATGATGAAACTGAGGCAAGCAGAGTTAAGTGACTGTGCCACCTAGCGGCCCTGGTCATCTATACCACTTCTTCCCAATTCCACAGATAATTGAAAGTTGACTGCATTATATTCCTTAGAATAGATTATACACTGATTTGCTGGATTGCAAATTCTATGAGGGCAGAGATCACATCTTATAAAACCTATTAGGTTCATAGGTGAATCAGTGTTGTACGTGAAGAAGAATAGTGTTCAGAAGAGAGCTGAGTTCAGATTTCAACTGACATTCTAGCTATATGGTCATAGGGAGTCTTTCTTCCATTCTTAGCTGAGGCAACTGTAGATGGAAAGAATGATACTGTAGCACCTACTTCAAAGGGGCTTCGAGAGATGAAGCATGTAAAGGGCTTTGTAAAGTTTAAAGTGTCAGCTATTATGAGGCACTACGAAAGGTTGATGATGAATGAATTCTATTTCTTTTGCCCAAATATAATAAGCAGGCGGCAGCTAGGGGGTGCAGTGGATAGAGCACTGGGCCTGGAGTCAAGAGGACCTGAGTTCAAATTTGACCTCAGATCCTTAGTAGCCGTGTGACCTTGGGCAAGTCATTTAACCCTGTTTGCCTCAGTTTTTTCATCTGTAAAACGAGCTGCAGAAGGAAATGGGAAACGACTCCAATATCTTTGCCAAGAAAACCCCAACTGGGGTTATGAAGAATTGGACACGATTGAAAAAGTACTCGACAACAACAATGTAGTAGGCTAGTGACTTCCCCTTTCTGGGGTTCAGTTTTCTTGTTTATAAAATGAGAGGCTTGAACTTGACTTCTGAAGCGTATACTCAGTTACTTACTTATCTCTCCAAAGTACCATGTCTGATTCAAACAAGGCTAAGCAAGTTAAAGAAATGCCCAAGAACATTTACATAGTCATATTTCACTATATCAGTTGATTAGGGTAGAGGAAAGGGGGGGGGTATAAGTTATGAGGAGGTAGATTTGGCTTCATAGAAGAAAGAACTCAGTAACAGTTAAGATGGGCTGTTGGACACAATAGACATTTATCATCGCATTGATAGGGAGTGAGCTCCCCATCCAAGGAAATATCCATACAGAGGATGGATGACATAGAATGGATTTCTTGGGTGGGAGGTTGGTTTGGTGAACTCTAAGGTCTCTTTCAACTCCAAGACTCTGTGGTTAAGTAAGTGCATACAGAACCAGAACCCCAGGATCTGCTTTAATGAATACATAAGAATCATTTGGAATTAGCACATTAATAGCAATGCAAATAAATTTAAACAATTACTTGGAGACAGTTTTATTTCTTCACCAAGCTAGATATTTCCTCTTGTATCCTTTTCCCCTACTATTAACTTGTGCAGTGATTTTTTTTTTTTTGTAAAGAGCAAATTTCGGTTCAGTTTGTGCCTAAGGGATCACAAGTTTTGAATCAGTGTGAGGTAACTTAATTGTCTGTGTGTTGAGGACTCTAGGGCCTGGTTTCACCAAATGACCTAAAAAGCCTCCTCTAAATCACTCTAATGAAGAGCTTTTTAGTGACTGAGCTATCAAAATGTACTCTCTTCACATCTCTCCTCCTTTCTTTTGCCCTCTTTCTCTTTCTCCACCTCCCCTCCCCCTCTTCCCCTTACATACACTTGACAACCCTCAGACCCTGGCGTTACGTTTAGTGAAGGTACTGATGGGAGAAGTTTTGTGCTATAAAGAAGGTGATGAGGATAAGGTTAAAACACACGCACACACACACACACACACACACGCACGCACACACACACACACACGCACACACACACACACGCACATGCACATGCACACACACACACAATCTAACCAGCTAGAACCCCTGGGCCTGGAGATTGGAAAATAAGTGATAAAAAGGTGAGGTGAGTATAGGGTGAATGGAGGTGCCAAGTGATGCAACTGAGACACTAAGATGCCAGTTAAAGGCAGAGATTATGGCCTTTGACCCGGGTGTGTGGTCATGCCCCTCCTAAACACTTTAGAACTGGAGCCCAGAGGAAATGAGTTGAGGGCATCTGCACTGTCTCCCCCTTCCTGGAAGTCTGGGGGAAGGAAGAGTAGGGGCCTGAACCCTGGGACAAGTCCATCTGCATTCTGAGTCCTTCTTGTGCTAAAGGGCTTTGGGTTTGGGGGTTGAAGGACAGGGGCAGGAGCTAAATCCCTTTTCCCTTCTCTGTTCTAGATACAACGACCCGCCTGTTGCTAGGAGCCATTGCAGTCCTGCTTTTTGCCATCCTCGTTGTGATGAGTATACTTGGTGAGTGAGTTTTTAATCAGTCTTCTATCTACTAGAACTCAGGCAGTATGGTAAGTACTAGCAGTTACCGTGTGCCCAGAAGTAGACCAGCATATCTCCCTTGCAGAAAGCCCCAAATACAAAAATCCAATTCTGTATTCGTAGGATTTAGAGCTGGAAGGGCATTAGTGGCCATCTAGCTCAGGAGTTGTTAACCTGGAGTCTGCAGACCCCCAAAGCATCCATGGATAAATTTCAGGGGGTCCATGAACTTGGATGGGAGCAAATTCCATCTTTATATTCACTAACCTCTAACTGAAATGGAGCATTTCCTTTAATTATGAATCTAGAAAACAAATATTCTTCTTAGGACTCCACAGGCTTCACCAGGAGCCAGAGGGTTCCTTGGGGTCCATGACATGAAGAAAGCTAAGAACCCCTGCTCCAGCCTAACCCCCCCATTTATACAGATGAAGTTTTAGGGTTCCTGTACCACTTTTTTTGTCAAGCCTTATCTAAGTCCTTCAGGTGCTCCTGCCCTCACCCTACTCAAATATCCCCAAATTCTGATCTTTTCTTCACAGTACCAATAACCCCATATTCATGTTTACCTATGTATCTATGTTCATGTCATGTTTCCCTGGAAGGAGAGATACATGCATTTATTAAGTGCCTACTAGGTACCAAGCACCTTACAAATATCTCGTTTGATCCTCACAGATCATTTACTTCTTATTCCACTTTATAGCTGGGGAAACTGAGGCAAACAGGGGTTAAATGACTTGCCTAAGGTCACACAGCTATTATGTGTCCTAGGCTGGTTTTGAGCTCAGGTTTTCCTGGCTCTGGGTCTCGTACTCTATCCACTAAATCTATCTATTCTATCCACTATCCACAGAGAGTCAGGAGTACAGCCTGGAAAGAATTAAAGACATGGTTGGTCTGGGCCTCCTCCTTAAAAAGCCAGTCAGAGGGAGAGGTCATAAGGGCTGAATATGGTTCCAATGTGAGAAGTAGTTGAGGGATGGGGCCACTGGTGGGAGAAGAAATTCTCCTTCCTGGTGAACCCACAATCCTAAGATGGTATCCCAATTGGTACACTGCTTTGCCTTCAAAGCTGTGACTTGTCACTCACTTCCCCTTTGAGCTGCAAAAATTAGATTGGTAATCAGCATTGATCACAACAAAAATCTAAAGGAGGTCATCAAACAACTAATTTATGAAAATGTGGAAAAGGAGAGAGTGATCACAAGGATCTCAAGATAGGCACTAGTAATAAATTATACCAAATGAACCTCATTTACATTTTTGATAAGAGTTGCTAGATTGGTGAATGTAATAGACAGTTACTTTAGTTTCAGCAAAGAATCTGATAGAGAAAATCTCCTATGATAGACTGGTAATCTGGGTGGTAAAATGGGGCCAGGTAATGATATAGTTCTGGCAATGAGGTGGTGCAGTGGATAGAGCACTGGGCTTGGAATCACAAAGACTCATCTTCATGAATTCTAATCCAGCCTCAGACACTTACTAGCAGTGTGACCCTGGGCAAGTCACTTAACATGATTTGCCTCAGTTTCCTCATCAGTAAAATGAGCGAGAAAGAAATGGCAGACCACTCCAGTATCATTGCCAAGAAGACCCCAAATGGGGTCATGAAAAGTCAGACACAATTGACTAACAAAAAATGATAGTCCAGTTAGATGCATTCTGAACGTAAAAATGATTAATATACCAGTCAACCTGGAGAAAGGTCAGTAATAGGGCACCTCAGGGCTCAGTCCTTGACCCTGTTCTGTTCAGTATTTTCATTAGTGATGTGAATGAAGGCAAAGTAGGCATGCATAAGATACCAAGCTGCAATAGATGCTATGATATACCAAAGAACCCAAATTCAATACAATCTTGATAGATTGTAATAATGGGCTGAAACCATTAAAATTACATTCAACAGAAATAAACATAAAGTCTGGAAAGAAAAAATTTCATAGGAGGAGGATGACCTGATTTGCAGGAGTTCACATGAGAAATACGTGGAGATTTTAGTTGATCACAAGCTCTCTGTGAATGTTGTGAACCAGATAACAACAACGATATTTAAACAGCACTTTGAGGTTAGCAAAGCACTTTATATATAGTCTCGTTTTATAGCATGAGGACATGAGGATGCTACCTCTGTGAAGTAAGTGCTAAAGGTATTATTACCCCCATTTTACAAATGAAAAATCTGAAGTTGAAAGAGGTTCACTAATTTGCCTATCATCAGTGTGTGTTTCAGTCATTTTTCAGTCACATCCAACTTTTCATGACCCCTTTTGCGGTCTTCTTGGCAAAGATACTTAGAGTGGTTTGCCATTTGCTTCTCTAGCTCATTTTACGGATGAGGAAACTAAGGGAAACAAGCTTTGATCCCAATCAAAATTGATCCAAATTCTTAAGTCTCTCAAAGCTGTTTGTCTTTACAATGTTGTAGGTGGTTCTGCTCACTTCGCTCTGCCTCAGTTAACTTGATATAACTTATTACTAGTACCTATCTTGCAATCCTCGTGATCACTCTCTCCCTTTCTGCATATTCATAAATTAGTTGCTCAATGACCTCCTTTAGGTTTTTGTTGTGATCAATGATGATTACCAAATCTATAATTTCTGCAGCTCAATGGGCAAGTGACTAGTCTTCCCAGGTTTCTCTGCATCGATACCTTTCATCATTTCTAACAGCAGCCACTGCAGCCACTTGCCAGCCAGAGGCCAAAACTTTGCCTGTTTCTCTTGAGTATAGGTTTTCTGAGTGGAAAGCTTGCCTGGCTGTTTTCGATCACCTGCTTCAGATTCTGCTGGGCTCAGTTTGCTAAGGCAATGGCCTGAAATCCAGTCAGCCAGCACCATTAAAAGTTCACACACGCAGACGTTAACTTTATCGGCTATTGAAGCTGGCATTTTTTTTTTCTTGTTCGGGAGCTTTCGTTTCATGAAGAGACTGAGATATATCTTTGCCCTTCTGAGCATCACAACTTTGCACCTCTTCTGTAAATTCTCCAAATAGCTTTCACTTTTTAGCCTGTTATTTCATTTCTTTAGCTCATTCACTTTCATCATTTGACTGTGTGGTCAGAGGAGCTTTCAGTTCTTTCAGTGTCAAAAAATGAATTGAGCTTCTTATTTTCTCTAGGGTTTTGTTTGTTTGTTTGTTTTTGCTTTTTGGTGAGGCAATTGGGGTTATGTGACTTGCCCAGGGTCGCATAGCTAGTAAGTGTCAAGTGCCTGAGGTAACATTTGAACTCAGGTCCCCCTGACTCCAGGGCTGAAGCTCTATCCACTGCACTACCTAGCTGCCCCCTTTAGTCTTTTCTTTAAGGGTTTCTAAGTACCTAATTCTTGCAAGGTGATACTCTTTTGTAATCTGAAATTTTGTATGATTTTCTTCTTCAACATCTTAAATTTTAGTCAAAGCTTTAGTCAAAGCTAGTTTATGTTGATGGAGCAGTTCTTTGTAACTTAAAAAATATACTCAGTCTTGAAAGTCTTTGGCAAGCTCCTGCTGTCCTGCTGAGAATATTTCTTTTTCATGTTGTAGTTCAGTCATTTTAGTCCTGTCCAACTCCTTGTGACCCCATTTGGGGTTTTCTTGGCAGAGATACTGGAATAGTTTACTGTTTCCTTCTCTAGCTCATTTTACAGATGAGGAAACTGAGACAAACAGTGTTAAATGACTTGTGCAGGGTCATACAGCTTCTAAGTGTTTGAGGCTAGATTTGAACTCAGGGAGATGAGTCTTCCTGACTCCAGGCCTAGCACTCTATCCTTTTTTACCACCTAGCTTCCCTGGCTATTTCTTTAGGTAATAGTTTTACTGCGTGAGTAACACTAATATTTCAATTATCGTCGAGAAACTCTCCTTTTACCTCCAGTGGCCTCAAATCATACATAGAAAAAATCCAGGTCACGACGTAGGCAATTCACATTCTTGAATGATTCACAGAGGACTTTTCATAGAATTCATTCCTCCATCCTGGGACAATGTTACTTTTGAGCCAGTTGACAGAGCCATGGCTGTATCCTCAGATGATGAATAGTTGCACAATATGCCAATAGTTGACCAGTTTCTGTAGGTGAGAGGTCTATTTTTATATCTCATTTGGGTATTTTAATCAATATGCTGGAATAGAAGTAGAACTGGTGTGTTTTGGGGGATTGTGGCATTTAAAAAGTTTGAGAGACATAATTCCTGAGTAATTAGTCATTTTGTTAATAATGCCAGCATTTTAATAAAAGAGATCAGTGGGACTCTTGAATGCCAAAGACAATCATGGCAGCAGGCTGTTGGCTTATATGCTCTTGGAAGAAGCGTGTCCCTGAGGGTGGTGATCAATTCTGATTGGTTGACAATTAATGAGAGAATGAATACTACAGAGTACTTGGACCTATTATAATGAACTTTGATTTTGTCATTTACTTCTAAATTAACCCCAGCCTTGGGCAATCTAATCAAAGAATTTATCCCCGAAGATGGTGGAGGGAAAGCAGGGATTGTCTTGAGCTCTCTCCCAAAGCCCTCTAAATACCTATAAAAAATGGCTCTAAACAAGTTCTAAAGCAGCAGAACCCACAAAAAGACAGAGTGAAACAAATTTCCAGCCAAAGTCAGCCTGGATGGTTGATTGGAAAGGTATATCGCACCAGGCGGAGAGAGGAGCACAGCTCAGCTTGGGCGCGCAGGCTACAGTGACCCTGGAGCAGGTTTCAGAGGGCTGAATCGCAGGCAGCTGTGGTGGTTTCCAGACTTCTCAACCCCTGAACGCCAAAGACACCTTAGAAGGTCAGTGGGAAAAGTGTCTGACTGCAGTGAGAGAGGAGCTAAGTCTCAGCTGCAAGTCTTGAGCGTGGCCCAGGGCCGTGGCTTTTTCCTGAGTTTCCTGCCCACAGACTGAGGGGGAATTGAGTGGTTGATCAGAGGGGGATTGCAGGGGTCTCTTTGCCAGTGCTGAGGCAGGAAACTCTTGCTTTACTGGTGCTTGGATCTGGGTCACAGTTCTGAGGGGCGGTCCTGGGCAAGGAGGAGTGCTGGCGCGGTGGAGTTGTTGCGGCGATGGAGAGGAAACATAGCACCTTGGAAGAACTGAAAATTTACAGGTCCCTAGAAGTACCTCTGAAAACAGCTGTACAAACCCCTGAAGCTTGGGACAGTACACTCTTCACATTGGAAGCAGACTTTTATCTTAACAAAGAATTTAAAACTCAAGTAATTGGCCAGGATCATGAGTAAGCAGCGCAAAAAGAGTCAGACTATATTATCTTACTTTGGTGACAAAGAAGATCAAAACATACAACCAGAAGAAGACACCAAAGCCAAAGCTCCTACATCCAAAGCCTTCAAGAAAAATATGAATCAGTCCCAGGCCTTGGAAGAGCTCAAAAGGGATTTTGAGAAGCAAGTAAAAGAAGTAGAGGAAAAACTGAGAGTTTTGCAAGAAAATCATGAAAAACAAGTCAACAGCTTGCTAAAGGAGACCCAAAAAAATACTGAAGAAAATAACACCTTAAAAAATAGCCTAACCCAAATGGCAAAAAAGGTCCAAAAAGCCAATGAGGAGAAGAATGCCCTAAAAAACAAAATTGGCCAAATGAAAAAGGAAGTCCAAAAGCTTACTGAAGAAAATGCTTCCTTAAAAATTAGAATAGAGCAATTGGAAGCTAGTGACTTTATGAGAAATCAAGACACTGTAAAACAAATCCAAAAGAGTGAAAAATGAGAAAACAATGTGAAATATCTCATTGGAAAAACAACTGACCTGGAATATAGATCCAGGAGAGAGAATTTAAAAATTATTGGACTATCTGAAAGCCATGATCAAAAAAAGAGCCTAGACATCATCTTTCAAGAAATTATCCAGGAAAACTGTCCTGATATTTTAGAACCAGAAGGCAAAATAGAAATTGAAAAAATCCACCAGTCTCCTCCTGAAAGAGATCCCCAAAGGAAAACTCCTAGGAATATTGTAGCCAAATTCCAGAGTTCCCAGGTCAAGGAGAAAATATTATAAGCAGCCAGAAAGAAACATTTCAAGTATTGTGGAAACACAATCAGGATAACACAAGATTTAGCAGCTTCTACATTAAGGGACCACAGGGCATGGAATATAATATTCTGGAGAGCAAAGGAGATGGGATTACAACCAAGTATCACCTATCCAGCAAAACTGAGTATAATCCTGCAGGGGAAAAAAAATGGTAATTCAGTGAAATAGAGGACTTTCAAGCATTCTTGATGAAAAGACCAGAGTTGAATAGAAAATTTGATTTTCAAATACAAGACTCGAGTGGAACATGAAGAGGTAAACAGGAAAGAGGAAATCATGAGACTTATTAAGGTTGAACTGTTTACATTCCTGCATGGAAAAATGATATTTGTAACTCATGAGACCTTTGTCAGTATTAGGGTAGTGAGGGGAAAAAATTATATGTACGTATATATAGATATAGATGGATAGATAAAGGGCACAGGGTGAGTTGAAGATGAAGGGCTCATATGTGGAGAATAAAATTAAAGGGTGAGAGAGGATTATACTAGGAGAAGGAGAAAGGGAGAGGTAGAATGGGGTAAATTATCTCATGAAAAAAACAAAAAAAACAGAAAAGAAAAGGCTCTTACAGTGGAGGGGAAATGGGGGAAAGTGAGAGGGAATGAGTGAATCTTATTCTCATAGAATTTGACTTAAGGAGGGAATAACATACACACTCAATTGGGTGTGGAAATCTGTCTTACCCTACAGGAAAATAGGGGGGGAAGGGGATAAGAGAGTAGGGGAATGATAGAGAGGAGGGCAGATTGGGAAAGGGGGTAATCAGAAGCAAATACTTCTGAGGAGGGACAGGGTCAAAAGAAAGCACAGAAAAAATGGGTGGGCGGGATAGGATTAAGGGAAATAGAGTTAGTTTTTCACAGCATGTCTACTATGGAGGTGTTTTGCATAACTGCACACGTATAACCTATATTTAGTTGCTTGCCTTATCAATGAGGGTGGGTGGGGAGGGAGGAAGGGAGAAAATTTGGAACCCAAAGTTTTAAAAGCACATGTTTAAAAAAAAAAGTTTTCACATGCAACTGGGAAATAAGAAATACAGGAAATGGGGTGCAGAAATCTATCTTGCCCTATAGGAAAATAGAAGGGGAAGGGGATAAGAGAAGGGGGGGAGAGATAGAAAGGAAGGCAGACTAGGGGAAGGGGTATTTAGAATGCATGCCATCTTGGGGTGGGGGGAGGGGCGAGATGGGGTGAAAATTTGGAACTCAAAATCTTGTGGAAGTAAATGTTGAAAACAAAAAAAATAAATAAAAATTACCATTAAAAAAAAAAAAAGAAAACCAAAGAATTTATCCCCTACTCAAGCCAGAGCAGAAGACATTGGGCTGGGAGTTTCACCTCAAATTCCTTGGAAGGTTGGGTTGGGTCAGACCAAGATTGAGGAGAGTTAATTCAATCTCATTATCAGTAATGTCCTTCAAGAGACTGAACTTTGAGATGAGGACTATAGAAAAAGGGGAAACTCTGGATCTCTCCAAATCATTGGTTACTAATAATCATTTCTCTCAGGGGGAAAAGCAAGAAGGTAAGGGTAGAGAGGGTTTTGGAAACTGTAATAATGAGGGATGTTGGAAAGAAATGAGCATTCTTAGCTTAGAGAACTGACTAGATTCACAGAATCTGCTGATGCTAGAACAGGAGATCTAGAAGAAACCAGAAAGAGAGGTTAGTCTGTTGCCCTTATTTCATGCATGAAAGAAGTGAGACCCGGAGAACTGAAGTGATTTGCCTAAGGGCACAGTGCAGCTACATGGTCAAGCCAGGATCAGAATCTCTCTCTCTCTCCATTCCCTGTCCATTGTTCTTCCCCTCTTCTTTTGTTTGTTTGTTTGTTTTTTTTAATTTTTAGGCAGTTGGGGTTAAGTGACTTGCCCAGGGTCATACAGCTAGTAAGTGTCAAGCGTTTGGTCTGAGACTGGATTTGAACTCAGGTCCTCCAGACTCCAGGGCTGGTGCTCTATCCACTGAGCCACCTAGCTGACCCTTCTTTGCCTCTTTTTCCTCCCCTTGTACAACTCTTCTCTTGGGGAAAACCAAACCAAGCAAGCAAACGTCTAAAGCCCTTCTACCTTACAATTTCTTCCTTTAGTTCAGCAGTTGGCCAGACGGACTTTTTTTTTGCACGCCTTGTAGCTTTGATTTAAGGGCAGGCATGATGAGTTGTCTTCATATCTTTTATATCAGAAAGACTGTTCTACAGAGAAGTCGTTCCTCTAAGATGCCCCAGATGGCAGAATTAGGACCAGTGGGTAGAAATTAAAGGGAGACTCACTCTGGCTCAGTGTAAGAAGGAATTTTAAAAACAATTGCAGCTGTCCAAATACACACAGCATGAGAAAGCTGCATGAAGAGATAGAAATGTTCCCAGTCACTGGGAGTATTAAAACAGAAGCTTGGTCAGCATCTGTGAGGGGTGCTTCAGGGGATGGGAGTTTGTAAACAGCTAGGTGGTGAAGTGGATTAGAGCCCTGGACCAGGAGACAAGAAGACCTGAATTTCAATCCCACCTCAGTCACTTACTGTGTGACCCTGGGCAAATTATTAAACGTATTTCTGCCGCAGTTTCCTAATTTTCAAATGGGGGATTATAATATTCTCTAGCTCACAGGGTTGTTGGAAGAATAAAAATGACATAATATTTGCAAAATGCTTTGCAAATTTTAAAAACACTATATAAATGCTTGATATCACCACCACCACTATCATCATCATCATCATCATCATCATCATCATCATCATCATCTTAAACAGCAACAAGAAGCTTTCCAATTCTTAGGGACTCTGGGCAGTGGTGCAGCGCCAGGTCTGAAGTCACGAAGACTTCTCTTCCTGAGTTCAAATCTGGCCTCAGACACTTACTAGCTGTGTGACCCTGGACAAGTCACCAAATCCTATTTGCCTCAGTTTCTTCATCTGTAAAATAAGCTGGAGAAAGATACAGCAAGCCACTCCAGTATCTCTGCCAAGAAAACCCCAAATGAAGTCACAAAGAGTCAGATACGACTGAAATAAATGAATAACAACATGGTGCTCAGTCTGGGATTGCTTATACGAGGGAGTCAGCTTTAGGTTGGGGACCAAGCTTCTGGTCCTTTCTCTCTTGAGAAACCTGTAGGATGTCAGCCTGTCACAGCCCATTTGCTCTTCCCTAAGCCCAAAAGAGGAACTCTGAACCAAGTTAGGATCGGGAGACTTTGCTGTGCCCATTCCCAAATCCATAGCCTCATAGTGGTTTTCTTTGCTTTCCCACAGCTTCCAAGGGCTGTATCAAATGTGATGCTCCATGCCCAGAAGATTGGTTGCTCTATGGAAGGAAATGCTATTTCTTTTCGGAAGAACCAAGAGATTGGAACACAGGGCGCCAGTATTGCCACACTCATGAGGCATCCCTAACTGTAATCCAGAGCCAGAAGGAGTTGGTGAGTATGACTCAGGTTGGGACATTGGGCCCAAATCTAGGTGCTCTCCGGGGTAGGAACCCAGCAACCAAATACTTGTCATTTAAATGTTTCTAGGGAGAAGAGTTCATAAAACCCACTTAGGCGTGTTTAGGTCAATAGGAAACCTCTCTGTATGTGGTCAGAGAACAGGGAGAAAGAAAATTGAGGAATCCACCCTCTGTCTATGCTTTTTGTTATAAAAGTTAATTGTTTTAATAAAGCCTTGGCCTTGATCAGTAGTCCAGGAAAGAATTTGATAATGTAGGCTTCCTGGTTTGAAATGAAATACCTGTGAATTTAAAAAATACGCGTGAAAGGCAAAACCAAAACAAAACAGCAACAATAATACTCACATGTAAGTGAGAGCAAGAATTTTTTTTTTTTTTTTTGGTCTTTCTGTCCCTTGTGCTTGCCTAGCAAAGGGCAGGGAACATAGTAGGTGCTTAAGAAATAAACACTTGTTGATTGATTGGTGAAGCCTTTTCCTCGCAAGCACCCTGTGAGGTAGGCAATGTAAGCTAATTTATTTCCATTTAGTAGACTAGAAAGTTGAGGATTTAAAAATTGCTTGACATAACATATATCATTTGATAGAAAATAGCAAATGTTCCCAAAATCCTTTTTTTTTTCTTGTCTTTGGCATGTATTATATGACATTTCTTGAGCACAGGGGAAGATAGTGCAGACAGAGCATTCTGGGGGGAGTGTGAGATTTAAAGTTTGTCCCATATAATCTGGCTAGTGCACGATCCGGCTTGAAGCTTTCATGTCAGAATCTTGACTTCACTGCGGAAAGGAAGCAACAGCCTTCCCACCTCGGCTCAAAGATTACGGTTTGTTCTGAGACACGTGGAAATGTCAAAAGGAAATATCTGATCTCAAGGTTCTACCTGTTTTCTTGATATAGGAATTTATGTTCAAATTCACCAGGAAGGAACCCTGGATTGGCCTGAGGAGAGTAGGAGATGAATTTCACTGGGTCAACGGAGATCCATTTCACCCGGATGAGTAAGCTGACTTTTAATCTTCTGATTGTTGACAACAGGTTGTGGGACTGGTGCTTTCCTTATAATCCTCTTTTAATAACCAGAATTCCCGGTTCCTAGGGGAAGAAAGTTTTTACTTTGGAGGCAAGGGATGTGGGAATAAGAATGCAAGGCATAGCGTAGTGGGTAGGTGTATTGGACTTGGAAATAGGGAGTGGGAAGGGAAGGAAAGGGAGCACGCCTTTATTAAGTGCCTACTATGTGCCAGACATTGTGCTGAGCAATTTACAAATACTATCTCATTTGATTTGATGCTCATAACAAAGCTGTGAGGTAGGTGGTTTTATTATCCCAAATTTCTAGTTGAGGAAATGGAAGTAGACAGAGGTTAAGTGACTTGCCCAGGGTCACACAGCTAGGAAGTATCTGGATTTGAACTCAAGTCTTCCTGTCTCCAGGCTCAGCATTCTATCCACTGTGCCATATTCATTAGCTGTGTGACCCTGGACAGGTCACTTCGCCTCACTGTGCCTCAGTTTCTTCATCTGTAAAATGAGAGATTTACTCTAAAGTCCCTTACAGTTCAAATTTTGTATTCCTATGAACTGCAGTTAGGAAGCTGTCTGATGACAATTTTAACTTCAGATCATTTGACTATAAAAACAAGACATGTTGGACATGGGAGAGATTAAGGCATTTAAACCTTGTCATGGCAGAAATTGTGTGGGTGTTGCCAAGCAGGAGGTGGGAAGATGACTAAAGGAGGGAAAGTGTATTGGGGTCCCATTGGGTCTCTGCATTCATGGCAGGGTGGCCTATCCTAGGCCTCAGCAGCAGGAATGTTTTCCCAGGCTGACCTTTAGCTGAGCCACCTTTTCTTACGCTCCTTTTTTCCTCTGGCTCTGTCTGCCTCTTCATTTCTGCTTCCTTTTCCAGCTCCTTTTCACCGCCTTTCCTCTCTTCTCTTCTTTGCCAATGTACTGTAGTACAAGGAGTGCTAACTTTGGCCTGGGGGCCACATCCTGCCCCAGCCACTCGCTACCTGGCTGGTTTGGGGCAAGTCACTTAGCCACTCACTTGGAGAATGAGACACGTGGACTGAGTGACCTCTGAGCTCAAAATCAAAGATTGTGTTTGTCTACCACAACCAAACAACAAACAGTTATAATGCACCTGCTATGTTCTAGGCATTGTGTTGCCCATCTCTGTTCTCAGTGCCTCTTCTCAAGGGACCTTGGAAAGTCCCATCCACGTTAGGTGACTTGGGCACTTTGAACAACACCCATTGTTTCTTGAGGCAGAGATTTTCACTGAGAGCCCTGGAAAGCCCACAGTCTGTGTTTCTCTCTATTATCGTCCCACTTCACTATCCCCTATACCCACACCCACACAATTGGGCAGTTTCGTGCCTGACATCCTAGCAGTCTAACCCTTTGCCAGGTGACTCAAAGTCATCAGTCATACTAATGGAATCTCCTGTGAGATCCTATTCCAGGCTCCTGGCTAGCATCAGGGCATTTGATTCTATTCAATATTATTCAAGGGAGCATTTATTAAGAGTCTACTATGTGCAGGCACTGTGTTAGGTGACTACAAATTATAAACAACAGTCTTCACCCTTAAGGATCTTCTGTTTTGGTGAATGCAATAATCTGAAAACCTACAGATCATGTCTTGCCCATAGTAGGCAGTCAATAAATATTTTAATCTAATTATTGTACCTAGTAGGTTCTTAATAAAGATGTTTATTGGAATGGAGAAAAGCAAACATTTAGTAAAAGCCCTCTATGTAACAGGTACTGGGCTAAGTACATTATAATAGGAAACAAATAACAGGGAATATCTACATAGCATCAGGGTATATAAAGTGCTTTATAGTTTACAAAGCTCATTATATATATTATCTCATTTGATTCTCATAACAACCCTGTATAGGTTGCCCTATTTTAGAGGCGAGGAAAATGAGGCTTGGAGATGGGCAGTGATTTGTCTATGGTTATACAGCTAGGAAACATTGAAGTCAGGATTAGAACCCAGATCCAAGTTCAGTGCTCTTTCCATGCTGCTCTTCTTAAGAGTCAGAACCTGAGGATTTTCTTGAAACTTCAAGGATATAAATTGAGGCAGCTAGGTGGCCTAGCAGATAGAGTGCTGGGCCTGGAGTCAGGAAGATCTGAGTTTAAATCAAGACCTCGGACACTTACTAGCTATGTGATATTGGTTACTTATCTCTCTCTCAGTTTATCTGTAAAATGCGGATAATAATAGTACCTACTTCCCAGGGTTCTGAGACTCTAAGGAGTCCTTATAATGGGCTTAGCCCAGTACCTGTTACATAGAGGGCTTTTACTAAATGTCTGCTTCCCTCCATTCCAATAAATATCTTTATTAAGCACCTACTAGGTACAATAATTTGATTACAATATTTATTGACTGCCTACTATGGGCAAGGCATGATGGTAGGCTGGGAATACAAAAAGAAGTAAAAAATAATAGCTACTCAAAGGGAGTTTATATTCTCCATGGTGGGAACAATCTGTGGGTGAGATGCACATGAAGTAAATACACTATAATCTGAGGAGGGACAGTGTACTAGCAGCCAGGGGGTGTCACTAGGAAGGTTATGGAACTTTTTACCCCAAAAGGTGGGGCATGATAGGACTGTGATCTCCTCTATGCATCGTCTATGTCATGCAACAGATGCCTTCCCATCCTGTGTGATTGCTGTTGGTGTCTTATACATCCTCCGAAAGGGAGCCACCCAATGTGTTAGAGGCCTTTCTCTGATGGAACGAGCTGTTAAATAAGTTCAAGGATTTAGGTAAATCCTTGGGTGATAGACTTGATGGCTTATTAAGGGAAGTCAAGGTTGCTTTAGGCCCATCCCTAACCCGTGAAAGCAATACCACAGCAAGAAACAAAGTGTGCATCCTTGGTGAATTTTCAAAATGGTGCCTCAGTGTGTTAGTGTCCATGGGAGGCTTTGAGTTTTCACTAGAACACATTTGATTTATCAATTAATCAGTTATTAGGAGCCTCCTATGTCTGGATACTGTGCTTAGTGCGGGGGATAGAAATACAAGTAAAGATAGAACCGTGGCCAATGATCAAAATCAACAATTGTTCCTGGATGGGGCGTATCAATTTACTTCCTTTTGGCCCATTCAACATTGGGACCAAAGTGCCCTTTCCTGGCCACTGCCCCTCTATTTGTGTTGTTTCCTCCATTAGATGTTAGCTTCTTGAAGGCAAGGACTCTAACTGCTTTTGTATTTGTATCTCCAGCACTTAGCACAATACTTGGCAAAGAGTAAGCACTTTAATCCTCGCTTTTTCATTCATTCATTCATTCATTCATTCATTCATTCATTCATTCATTC